ATCCCGACCGCTGAGCAGCCGGCCGACTTCCTGACGAAGGCGCTGCACTACCCGGCCTTCAAGAGGGCATGGCTGGTGCGGTGGACGACGTGCTGTGTGTTGGGTGCACGTCGACGAGCTTTTCTCCGAGAAGTACTGTCGTGTGGGCTGGGGGCCCAAGCGTGAACGTGGCAGGGGAGTGTTAACGGGAGTTGTGTGTTGGCCCCGTCCTTGCTTGGGCGGAGCCGACTTCGTGGTCGGGTGTGAGGGGAGCAGCCGACCTGCAGCAGTGGGCGAGCTGGTCGACCGGGCTGGTTGACTTGCATGGGTGTCACTGCAAGGGCGCCGACTTTGGAAGGGCGTCAACGACGGGTGGTCGACTTGGGAAGTCGACCTGCGGAGGGCGTCGACTTGGTGACGCCAACTTGGGGCAGCCGACTTGGGTGGTCGGCTGACAAGACTGCTGGTCGACCTGGTGGTTGGTCGACCAGGCCTGCTGGTCGACTTGGTGGCTGGTCGACCAGGCGTGATGTCGACCTGGTGGTCGACCGAACATGTGGTCGACGAAGGAGGGGTTGACGTCGATATTGACAGAGGGATCAGGACGTCGAGTAGCAGGGCGTCAACTTGGTGACGCCGACTTCGGGTGGCCGACTTTGGGGGTCAGCTGACGACTGTGCTGGTCGACGAGGAGCTGGTCGACCAGGAGTGACGTCGACCTGGAGCTGGTCGACCAAGAGTGTGGTCGACATGACAAGGTCGACTGGAAGTGGTCGTCGACCTGGGTGGTCGACGGGCACGCGCAGGAGCAGCTGGTCGACGTGGTTGCCAGGTTGACCAAGTTTCCTGGGTGACGAGGTTCTGCGAAGGCACGCGACGGTCGCCCAGGCGACGTTGGCGAGGACGACCTCGGTGGTGGTATCCCGAGGTCGACGTGGCTGATCAGAAGCAGTCGTCAGCACGAAGTTGACTTGGTGTGTGCGCTGTGCAGGTAACAAGGCACTGCACGCCAATCATTAACGAGCACCTGCGAAGCAGGTGCGCTGCTGTCCTGCGGGAGCAACGTTGGCACACCGTCAACCTGCGACGTTGGCACGCCGTCGACTTGCAGCATTGGCAAGCCGCGACTCTGCACTGCTGGAGCGCGGTCGACCAAGTCGTGCTGGCATGCGGTCGACCGTGCTGCGCTGGCAGTAGACTTGCTTGCATGCTAGCTCTGATGTAGTCTAGTCTTGCCAACTTCATTGTACCATTGTTGTCAACCTTTCCTAGTGAAACTCTTGCCAATTCTCCCTGTGAACTAGCAAGCAGTGTTAGCACTTGGAAACGACTAAGGAACGAACGCAGAGATCACACGAGCATCCGTGCCTAGCCCGTAGTCTAGCTCCCGTTGCAATAGTTATCTCCGCAATAGATTCCCGTTGCCCCATGGGGAGCAGTGAAAACTATATTTTCGGGGGAGAATTGTAGATTAACTGTAGCAGAGGAACATGTATCAGCAAAAGTATCAACAATGAACGGAGAGACAGATTAGGCGAATGCTAAGAGATGTTCCCTCCCATTCTCATACCTTCTTTCCCTCTCTGCCCTTCAAAGTCTTGGTATGTATTGCTCCCTACAGGTCGATCCTGTTTTGATCTTCATCACCTTTCCCTTTCCACTTGCCTTTCCACAATTTGTGTTTCCCTCCCTCTACTACCCATCATACATTTCTGCTTCTGCCGCAGCCATTGCTTCTTGCGAATGCCGTTCTCTTGCTCAAACCACCCTTCTTCTCAATCGTCGTTTCCATCCTTCGCAGCATGGTTACTTTCAAACTGATTCGTGACCTCCCTTCCTCTCTCCTTCCCCTCCCCTCCTCTCCGACTTCTCCGTGTTGTCCGTGCATTAAGGCCAAGCACTCACAATCTCCTCATCCGCCTCCCCCCTTTGCCTCTCCCTGTCTACTTGATATCGTGGTTTCTTTTTTCCTCTCATGCCACTGCTACTCTCTTCTTATGAACGATGATAATCCTAATGCCCCCCCCCCCCCCCCCTCCCCCCCCCCTCGTCAATCACTGGGGCGAACAGGCATGTCTTCGTTTTAGACGTCCTGTTATGCTCTTCCATTTCAATAATAACGAGAGTTCCTTTTCCACTCTCCTTTGTAATTTCTCATCGCATAGCATTTTTTATACTTCCACTCTTCCTTTCCTCAACATAATAGTGTCGCTGAGCATAGGATTCGTACTCTCGTGGAGATCAATTGTTGTCTCCTCAATTTCCCACTTTGTTTGAAGTTATGCTCTTCTTCATGCCACACTTCTTCCTAACCTTTGTCCTTATCCTCATCGACCCACCATTACCCCTTTTCAACATTAGACTGGTAGCCATTTCTTTGCCCACCCTCTTCGGATATGGGGTTGTTTCACTCATGTACTTGACAAATCATTGACCAGATGCGCCTGGGTGGAAGCTCACTCCCAAACCGCAGATCTGTGCGTACCTTGGTGTTACCCTTGACTATCCTGGCTACCTTTGTTATGCCCCCTCCTCTCAATAGCTCATTTGCAACGAGTATGTCACCTTGATGAATCTCGCTCTCCCTTCCTCACCCCGCCCCTCGCCCCTCCTGCTCCCTCTCCTCATTGGTCTGACTTCAATTCGTTGCCCTCTCCTACCTCCTCTCCACCCTCCCTCCGATGAGGATCGAAAGATCGAGTTCGTTAAACAATGAATCCGGGTACAATTACGTGGCTACATAAAGGCACGATACAAGGCATGTAACCCTGATATTACGCGAATGTTCCGTGCATTGGGAACAGTCAAGATTGGAACCTTCGCAAATTCGGTAGAAGAAATTCAGCCAAAATCACGCGCGCGCACAGTCACACAAAAATGACCAAAATTCCACAGAATTCGGTGCACGCAACCTATAATGAATATAGTATAGCAGAAACTCTAAGAAAAGAATCATAAACAAGCACAATGATATAAAAATAAGTAAAATAAACTAAGTATGAGTAAGTGTAGCCATTGTACTTTCACACGTCCCCCCCTGAAAGATGGGTGGTGCATGAAACACCCTACTTGACAGAGCACAGCGTGTGTTGCAAAAAAAAAAACCATGATTTCCATCCAAAACTTGCTTGTGGACTTTGGCTCTCTGTCCGAGTTGGGTGTAGCAGGGATGCCGTGGATGGTGACAATGCGGTCGAAGAAGAGGCGAGTAGTCGCTTCAGCTGTAACCATAGCGATGGTCGGGATGAAATATCCCATCTTAGAGAACTTGTCGATCAGTTAGTATAGCGTCATACCCTCGTGTAGTCGATGGTAGTCCAGTCATGAAAACTAGACTAACAACGCTGGCACGTCTCGCACGAGGTGACGAACTGCTGCATCTTGGGCTACTAGTAATACTTTCCTTTCCTTCTAAGGTCATGTTACTCCCAAAATGTCCCGCATATGCCACGTCGTGAAATCCTTCTTGTAAGATCTATTAGAGTGGCGCATAGTTCGATACCCATTTTTTTCATGAACCTTACCTTATTCCTAAGTTCTTCTCCCACTGTAGCAGTTTTTGCTTCTCTACCGGAGTGATTTCCACATCCACAGTGTACCCATGCTGGAATAGACCCTTGAGTTGGATGCCTGCTACATGCCTAGGCCAGCTCAATGCGTCGGCCTTGTTGTGTAGTCCTGGATTGTAGACGATGTTGTAGTGGAAATGTTTTTCATGGAAGTCCATCCACCGCACCTGTTGACGTGAGAGCATAGGCTGTGACTTGAGGTATTTGAGGCTGTAGTTTACTATGGTATTGGCTCCTTCCAGGTAACACCTCTACGCCTTGAAGGTTGTCACTATCGCCAAGTCTTCCTTATGGTGGATTGGGTAATAGAGTTATGCTCCGTGTAGCTTCTTACTGAGGTAAGTTGTAATAGTTGGCGAGGCCTAGGAAGTACTGCAATTCCTTGACGTTCTCAGAAACTTTCCACTTTTTGACGACTTCGATTTTTCATGGATCTACGTATACGCCCTCGGCATTTACCATGTGCCTGAGAAACTGCAGCTTTTTCAGGGCGACGTCGATTTTTGACAACTTCACATAGAACTTGTTCTTCCGAAAGATATCGAAGACTTTCCGAAGATGCTTCACGTGCTCCTCCATTTTTTTTGTAGATTAGAATATCGTCCAGATACACTACTCCGCACTCGTCAAGCAGGGGCCGTAAGATGTCATTCATCTGTGTCTGAAAAGCCCATGGTGCGTCGAAAAGTCCGAACGATACCACTAATTATTTTGAAGGAGCGCCATCTTGTGGATCAAGTTATTTGTCATCTCAATGTGCTACTAACCCGACCATAGGTCCAGCTTCGAGAACACCATCGCACGACGTAGTTGGTCCATAAGGTCGTCGATGTGTGGTATGGAGTATTTGTTATTGATGGTCTGTTTCTTCAGTGCCTGGTAGTTGATGCACGTAAGTAAACTACCGTCCGGCACTAGAGTGAAGAGAATTGGTGAGCCGTAGGGTGATGTACAGAGTCGGATCAGTTTCAGGTCAAGCAGGTAATTTGATTGAATTTTCATGTCTGCGAGTTAGGTTAAGCTGAGGCAGTATGGTGCACGGGAGACTGGTTTCCCACTAGGCTCTTCCATGATCTCCTGTTAAATGTTTAAAACACTCCTGTAGGCAGATCTTCAAGCATGGTGTTATTGTACACCCCTTTCGTACTGCTGCTGGTAGCTCTGAGTTCGGCTTCTCCTCTGTTGCCATTGCTAGTGCCCGGTAACCCATGTTACTCTTGTTTACCGTTCCCTTCAACTATGCAAGTGTCGCCTCTGGAATATCCCCTGCATCCATCCAGCTTTGCAGCTCTACACGCTTCCCGTTGTTGTAGATGCAGAGTTTCTGGTCTCCGAGTTGAACCGCTTCAAGATATCTCTTCCCAAGATAATGTCTAGGCCCTTGATGTTCGACATCGGTGACGTCGGCTTCCACCTCAGCACACCTATCTGTAGCTTTAGCGTAGTCTCTCCATGGGTGGGTAGCTTTCTGCCATCTGCCATCGTTGCCGTAAACTAGGTCTCCTCCGCATACTCCCCAATATTCTCCAACGTCCCACGGTCGCACACCAAGTGGGATGCACCACTATCCATCATCGCTTGGAGGTGTCTCCCTTTACAGAGCACCTCGAGGAGTAGTGGCTTTTACCGCTCCGAGTAGACAAAGAATGTCTCATTTATAGGATCATAGAATATATCAAAATCATCCTTATCCCTATTTCCTACACTCGAAGCTGCAGTTTTTACTTCCAACTTCATCCGAGGGGTAGAAGCAGTTTTCCAAGGCCGCTACAGCTTATCGTGGACCTAGAATCTTCCCTTAAGCCTTTGCAGCTGTATAGGCTTTACATGTGGAGAATAGAGAGCCTCTTCACTATGCTATTAAGAGAAAAATATTAAATCCTCGGAACGCTTGACCCTTTTTAATGCTCCGGAGTTGGTTCCCCAACTTTCTGGTACTGTTACCGATTCTTGATGCTTTCTCTTAGCCTCTAACTCTTCCTCTTTTTTTTTTTTTTTTTTTAAAGGCTTGAAACCACGAGAAGTAATATTCATAATTAAAGCATCTTCGTAGGACAAATTTAACAGCTTCTTGCTTTTGGGGGTGTTCTGCCGGAGTTTCTCGGTCGATATAGAGTCCTTTTTTTGTTTTGTTTTTGTTTTTGTTTTTTTTTTTTTTTCGCGGATTCTCCTTTGGTCTCAACAAATTCCCCCGGTGCTGGTCGGTCGTGATGTTTAAAATTAAACGCCATCATTTTCTCCTTTTCCTGCTCACTCCAAAGTCGTCACGTCGTCCAAGGATCTTTTACTACTCGCCAATTCAATCCGCGGCTACTAGTTTTTATCGTCTTCTTCTTCTTCTTCTTCTTCTTCTTCTTCTTCTTTTCTTCTTCTTCTTCTTCTTCTTCTTCTTCTTCTTCTTCTTCTTCTTCTTCTTCTTCTTCTTCTTCTTCTTCTTCTTCTTCTTCTTCTTCTTCTTCTTCTTCTTCTTCTTCTTCGGGAGTGCTGCACTGTTCTTTCCCCGCAACTCCACACATGCCTTTTCATTTTCCAACACGACAAAATCCAATGCCCTGCTACGCCACAAGATTCGCACATTTCCGATTTAGTCGCCCGCTGCTTCGCGTTGATTTTGTTGATGTCCATCGGGTCGGCAATCATGGGGGATGCCGACCATTCAGCGTCGAAATTTTTGTTCGACATGTTGTGCCATGTTTCGTATTGAGCCTTGGTCAACGCGTCCAACTATTTGGCGGCACACGCCATATCCTAGTAGCTCCTATAATTCGCTGCGATGACTTGTCGGCAAACTTCATTTTTTCAGCCAAAACATGTACGCTTGATTTTTTTTCTCCCTCTGTTAAGTCGTCGATTCTGTTGAAAAATGACCCCATTTGCTGTGTGTATTGCGCGCCATACTGCCGTATTGTCGGTGTCGGTGTAACTGCCGCGCTATGCACGAAGTATTTTTTAGCTTGAAACGCTGAATCAGGCTGGAAACTACGCCCACGTCCATTCGCCTCGGATATAGTTATTGTATATCCACTCCAGTGCTGGGCCTCATAACAGCGAGCCGAATTTTCATCGCGCTGGGATCAAACACATCCAGCAGCCTCGGTCGCGTTGCTTCGAGATTTACTGTAGTTGGTGCCATTGTCTCATGTTGAAATATCGGTGTTGCTACTGCCGCTCATGCCATCGCTGTTGCTGTGGCGGCAGCTGATTGGTTCGCGAGCATCGCTTTGAGTCGTTGAAGCGTTGCACGAGTCTGCTCCTCTTTGGCACGAGATGTGGCGAGCTCTAGTAGGAAATTGTCGCCTTGCCTCTCTATGCCCGACATGCCTGTTCAGAAACCGGTTCGAGGGGAATTCAAAATTTGTGTGGAACTGGTTGCCCTGAATTGGCATGATTGTCGTCTCCCCCATGGGTTTTTAAAGGTTGGGTTTTAGTGGTTGAAGAACTTCAAACGCAAACGTGCTTTTATTACGAAGTGTGAGGATCGAAGGATCGAGTTAAGGATTTAGTGATGAGTCCAGGATACAACTGTGCTACCCCACTACAGCCTACACAATATAAGCATTACCATGTTTTGACACCTAGTTTCTTAGAACGAACACCTCCATGACTCTACCGTCATCGCCCGGATATAAGACATATATGTCTTATCTCGTACACGGGAAAAAATGCTTGGGTTGTCTTGTATCTAGGACGGTTTAGGGTGTCTTATAAGTCTTATAAATGGACAAGAGATACCCCCTCGTTATACAATTGCCCCTAGCCTTTACACTTGCTTAACCCATACAAGGCAGGTAACCCAGATGTTACGCAAATTTGCATTGGGAACCATCGGGAACGAGAAATTTGGCAGAAATCATGCGCACGCATAGTCACGCGGAAATAATCAAAATTCCATAGAACTCGGTGCACGCAACCTAGATCGATGCTATAACTATATTAAATATAGTAAAGCAACAATTTTATGAAAATGTTATAAACAAGCACAAGAAAATATTGATAAGCAAGATAATGTAAATATGGGTAACGTAGCCGCTGTACTCTCATACCTCCCCCACCTCCCCCCCCTCTTCCTAGCCATGCCCCTCTCCTACTCGCCTTATCTGCCCCCCTTTTGTTGTCATCTATAGCGCCTCTCCTCCTGCCTCCACCTCTTCGATTTCGATGCCCTCTCTATCCCCCTTTCCCCCCCTGTCTCTTCCTCTCGTCATGCTCTCCCCCCCCACCCATCCCTCTCCATGCCTTACTCACTTCATAATCCACGCGCTGTCCAATTTTTAGCACTTTGCTCTTTCCCCCCCCCCCCCCCCCCCCCCCCTCCCTCCCTCCCTCCCCCCCCCCCCCCCCCCCCTCTCTCTCTCTCTCTCTCTCTCTCTCTCTCTCTCTCTCTCTCTCTCAATCAGTCCTTGTATTAATATAGGAGGTAAGTACAAACGTGCAGGGAATCAAGGAAAAACTAGCAACACTAGAGACTAGAAACAATAAACAACTTAGCAGCAAATGAGCTCCTGGAAACATCCCCCTCCCCCCCCCCCCCCCCCCCCCCCCCCCCCCCCCCCAACTAAGCAGCCCCTAAGGGAGCTCTATAGCAGGCTTGAGCACTGCAAAACAGTCCCTTAAGGACATCTCCTCTCCTGTGGCCCCAACGAGTAGGTTCTCCACTGCAGCCGCAATGTTGCACTTGGCCATGTAACTCACGTCCTGCCCCCTTTGCAAAACCACTGACCGCCTTTGGCGGAATTGCTGGAGTAGTTTCACCGCCTGGTAGGTCGAGGGCTCTGCGTTGAAGAGCTTATGGGCTGCCGTGTCAGCTAGAAGCTTCAAGAACTTAGGGACCTCCTCGCAGGGGCAGCCGTATGTCTCTACGGCAAGGGGCACAAACTCTACGTAGGCTGCTGGGGAGCCGTTGTAGTCTGAGATCTTCTTATCCGCAGCCTCCCTAGCAGCCCACCCCCTCCCTTTGACTGCCTTCTTGTCACGGGTGCTGATGGGGTCAGTGATGGTGACATCGCAAATCCACACTGCCCTTGATGTCTGGTCCAGGATGGACAAATCTGCCGGCTTCCTGGTAACCGGACAGCATTCCGCCGACTCCTTATCCTCTCTCTCTCTAATGGTCCGTGCATTGATATAGCATATGAGGTACACAAATGCAACGTCTATCAAATACACATCAAGGAGAGACTAACCTAAGAACAACCAAACAAACTAACAGGAACATGCGGCCTGTCCCCTTAAACTTCCACTAGGGGTTCAATCACTGTAAAGCTATCACCCAGGTGGAGCTCTTGTTGCATTCCCCCAACCGGTGGGTTCTCTGCCATGGCTGCTTGGCAGGACTTCATGAGGTAACCCACCGACTGGGCCCGCTGCAGCGCCACTGACCATCTCTGCCGAAAGAGGTGGAGGAATCTAGCTGCGTGATAGGAGTTAGGTTCGGCGTTGAAGTGTCGCCTAGCAGCTGAATCCGCCAGCAATTTCAGGAAGATCGGTACCTACGCACATGGGCACCCGTACGTCTCCACGGCCAGGGGAAAGAATCCCACAGTGTCAGGCCGGCTAGCGTAGTGTCGATTTTCTTATCCGCCTGCTCCCTTGCTGCCCATCCCCTGCCCTTCGCCGCCGTCTTATCCTGGGTACTGATCGGGTCCGTTATGGTTACATCGCAAATGTAGACCGCACCTGAGCTCCGATCCATTATCGTAAGATCCGCCGTCTGCTCGTCCACTGGACAATAGGCCGCTGACTCTGTGCGCACGATGAAGCCTGCGTCTCGTGCCATGCTGACGCATGCGTATCTCAACTCATTGTGCGTGTTGATCCTGTGTTTCCCCGTACCGCAGCAAAAGAGGTGGTTGGGCAGTCTCGGGTCCGTGATCGCGACGTGCTTCGAGCAATGACACTTTGCCGGTGTTGCGAACGGCAGGCCCAGCCGGAAACGAACCGCGTTTGCAAAGTGCTCCCTTCCTATCCGCCTCATGGGATCTATCGGTATCGCCAGCAGCCAATCGCCAGAACCGTAGCCGGTGAGGGAGAAAAGACGCTACGTGTGACCGGAAAGCGGGTTTGGTCTCATGTGGCGGGACTCGCGGACCTGCTGTGCGTATCTGCTCCCCTGAACCTAAACCGAGAGGGCGTGCTGCAGCCTTATCCCCCCCGCGTCGAGCGGCAGCGCCGCTGCACATTCCGTCAGCCAAGAGTGAAGGGCAGTGTCTGTATCTCTAGGCAGCACCATGTGGTTTTTGGCTGTGGACAGCACGTCGTCCGGTTCCAGCGGCAAGGAGCTCAGCAGTAGTGACGCCTGTGTGAAACTAGCAAGGAAACCAAACACGCCCTCTACGGTGGGATCTGTAATGCCAATGCCGCCCAGTGACGGCGGCAGGGAAGACTGCTCCCAAACCCGCGTCTGCTCTGCCTCACTGGAAGGATAACGTATGCTGCATGCGGCTAGCAGGGTGATGAGCAGGTCTCGGCCCCATTGTGACCATGCCTCACGGGGCAGGAGGTTGAGCGGGGTTGTCCTCGTCAGGTAAGCTACCCGTCGCGAGATACATCGTGTGAGTAGCAGTGATGCTATTTGCGGATCCGTGTGTTCGAGTAGCGGGAGCGGCTTCGCCATTGACCGTAGCTGTTCCGTTAGGAAAGAGGTGGCGCCGCCTGTGGTGCCTAAGAAGCTTCCTAGCTGTCTAACTCCCTCCCGTGTGAATGGCACCCCTGGCGGCAGCTCCCTCGCATCTGTTATCTCAGTTCCGCTCCATGCCACACATTTCGCGGGGTTGTGCTCTAAGCCTAGTCCTGCTAGCTGGCCGGTGAAATGTGTGAAAGCCGCAACCTTTTCAGTTTTGTTGCCGATGAAGCTGACGTCATCCGCGTAAGCGAGGCACAGAACTTCTGGGTGGGCCACTGCCGTCGCTCGCAACGCAGGGTGGATGCCAGCGGCAAAAAGTAGAGGCCCCAAGGGGTCACCTTGGCGTACCCTGCGCTCGCTGCTAAGTGGTCCTGTAGCGAAGCCGTCGTCTAGCTTAACTAGCGGCAGTAGAGGCGACAGGGACGGGTCCTGTAAGGCAGTTATAATCGCCTGCCGTGAGATACTGTTGAACGCGTTTTTCAAATCCGTTTGCAGTATCAGTGAATCTGGCCTTGCATCAGTGAAAGCACGTGATGTGTGTATGATTGCTTCCGCTCCTCCCGGTACTGCCACGCCGTACTGTAACGGGAGGAAAAATTCCCGTGCAGCTGCTCCCATGACCGTCAGAGCAGCCTTTGCCGCCAGGCGAGTCAGGCACTCACCTATTGCTATGGGTCTGGCGCCCCCCTCTGGTTTGGCCAGCGCTACCAGGCGTGACGATGTGAGTAGCTCTGCTACGGGCTCGGGAAGTTTCCCTCCCAAAATTGTGTTGACCAATGCGTGTAGGTGTGTGCAGATGGACGCATTTGTTACTGCGGTGTCGCCCAGGTGTTCGAAAGTGGTGCCAGACGGGCCGGCACCCACCCCATTCTCGCAACGGCTTAACAATTTGACGAAGACAGCATGGGAAATGGCCAGGCTGTGCGGTTGGTCGTGGGGTGGCCAAGTCAAAGGCTCGGTGTCAAC